CAGAAAATTAAAAATAAAAATCATTACACAGGATAATGCTTAAAGTTTCATCATTAAATCATACCTTCACCATACTACATGGCATTGGCTTCCTTACTTGAATACCAAATCACACTTAAAGCTGAAATATTAATATTCACAGCTCTCAACAGCGCTGGCTCAATCAGCCTATGTAACTGTATGTGCCCACAATGCTTGTGTTGCTTAGTCACAAAGAGGGCATGAACTTCACCAGCGAGACTCCCAACGACAGAAGAACGAGAGCGCTTTCTTAAGAGTTAGCCTAAGGCCTAGGGTAACACACTTCCTCAATATCATCACTCACACATGCAAAATACACTTCTTCAATTCTGCAGCAGAAGAGAATCCCAGTAATAATGGGGAGGAAGAGAAGAGAAAAGCAAAGTGATATTTTTAAATGTGAGCATTTGTAAGGTTCTCAGATACCATGGAGATAAGTGCACTATAAATACGTCAAGAAAGACGCAAAGAGAAGATGACTGCTGCTTGAGCAGCAGGGCTTGGAAATATGGGGACAGAGCCTCACCTACTGTAAATCTGTAAGTCAGCAGTTCCTCTGGCTTCAGTGGCCACACCAATTTACACGCACAGGTGATCTGACCCACTGTGCTTTAAAAGGCATAATACTTTACTGGTGCTGAGACAAGTATCCTGGCTTTTGCTCCACCTTTGGAGGTGTATACAGCATTGCTCAATATAGCACAGCTGGACAATGGGTTGCAGGGAGAGACAGGTCCCTCCCTTCAGCCCACTGGTTACATTCCTCACAGCAGCAATAAAACAAGATGCCAAACCTCAATGAAAGGAAAATAGGATTTTGGACACCATTTAAAATGCTCTGAATTGCTCAATCAATTCTGTATAAAAAAATCTGCCATCCCGTTGCTTTTAGTACTTTAACAGCTTTGTCACTGTGTCTCCAAGATAAGGCATATGGAAGAAAGCCATCTTTCAAACAATTCCAACTGTTTACCAATTCCAAATTAATGCACTTGGAATCAAAGCAGGGGAGTTTGCTCTATTATTTCTACAGCAATAATCCCTTATGCACACACCAGGTCCAGAATGTTCATATTTGTAAGTGCATAACCCATTCTCCTTTTTGAAAATCAAAACAATCTTGTCATTTTGCTCAAATACTTCTTCACAAAGCTCAGCAGCTGGATGTAGAGCTTGATGGGTAAAGAATTGTGCAGTTCTATTGAGACATGTTGAGAGAAGAATACTGTATTTCCCTTAAGTGTCTATTTATAGCAGCAATGCTATATCTCATAGAAAATGAAAAAGCAAAAAGTGTAGGCAGAGGCTTTCTATGTCCCTATTATTCATCCATCAAATCGTTCTTAAATACTCATTTCTGCAATAGCACTTAGATGTAATCATCAAACCACTGATGACTAGGTTGAGCAACAGTAGCTGACTCTAGTTACTTAATTTCATAGAAAAAAAAGCTTCTTCAGCACCCCTGGGAGAGAAAGGATTGGCTGGTGTTAAGACACTGGCTTAAGACTTAGAAGGTCTAAGATCAGTTGTTGGCTCTGGTGCACATACCCTGGGTGACCTTGGACAAGGAACTCTTGGTCTTTTGGAGCTTCAGTTCTCCATCTGTAAAGTCGGGTGAAAATATTTCCTATCTACTTAGTCTATAAGATGTCCAAAACAAGGTTTTTCTTTTCCTGTCCCTATTGACTTACTACAATAAATCTTGACTCCTGGTTTGTGCACACCCCCCCTCCCCCCCCTCCACCCCCAGCCTCAGGTTGCCCTGATTTCCTGTTCCCCTCTTCCTGCTCCATGTTGTTTTTGCCGCCTACAGCCTCAGGTTGCCATGCCCTTTCCTCAGGCTGGGGCCAGAGCCACGGCAGCTGGCTGCCTCCCCACCTCCCCTGCCACTGCCTTGTGCTTGACTGTAAGGCAAGAGGCTTTCCCTCCCTGTTAAATGGGGGAGGGTGGAAAAAAACCTCATCTTCTAAGCAAGTAAATACAGTACATTTTTATCATTAAACTTGTTCTCCCTCTAAGCTTCCCCTATATTGCATGATTTTTCTCCTGAGCATTTTGTGCATCAGTCAAGTCAATCCTGACATGTTAGCCAACCTTTCAAATCCATGCAGTAGCTTTTATTTTGGAAGCAATAGAGGCTGACATATTCTTTTGTTTCGCAGTTAGATGACAGATACCCTGAAAAATGTTACTACATTTCTTCATGTCAAAGTGAAGAAGAAACATGAATTTGCTCAAAAAAAAAAAAAAAAAAAAAAAGGGGGGGGGGTGTAAAGCACAAAATTCCATAAATCCCAAGGAACCTTACCTGATCTATGGAATCATCATTAGGCCAACAGGAACAATCATTTTCGCTGGTACCACTGCAATGTAAGCAGCTGATAATATAGAAAATAAACAATTTGCATAAATTTAAGATACTCATCTAGCTTCATTTGTGAGTATGAAACACCAAGTTATGCAAAAAAATACAAGCCTAACAGAAGAGTGCTGCTAGCCAGTAAGATGTATCAAAACAAAAAGAACACTTATCTGGATGAGAATCTCCAAACAGGGCCTGGGCTCTATCCACCAGAGAAAGTGAAACTCTCTGAGATGCTGTCTTTTCCCTGCATAGCCACTCAGGGGGAGGAAGCATTTGGTCCTAAGACTGGGGAAGGGGAGGCAGAGAGCCAAGGGGGAAGAGGGATACTTCCTTTTTGCTTACCAAAGGATTTTTTTTAGTTTGAGAACACAATAGTTGTTATGAAGAGAATCTGAAAATTATGTTAAAGGAAGCAGAAAATGCTGTCTTCCACACAATGGTAGTTTTCTCCACTATATTAATGGCCCAATTGCCAGATCAAAGTCTGGCCTATTCAGCACAAACAGGGGCACTATGACAGCACCATGATGCTCTTGCAGTTTCCCCAGTCCTACATTCTGCAGATAGAGATGTAAACAGGTGCTGCTTATGTGCTATGCTTCATCTCTCAAGCTATTGAGTGGGCAGTGGGCATGGAGGGGAGGCACTTTTCTTTGCCCCTCCTGTGTCCTACACTAATACATCCGCTACCCCCAGTTATGGCCCAGCAGGATATCCTTCATGCAGCAATGGAGAATACTGAAAGCACTGTGGCTCAAAGAAGTAGGATTCCTTCCTTATGTTGCCACTGAGACACTGAAGCTATGTGACACAGCTTAACAGGGAAGACTGTAAATGTATTCCTAAGTACTTATCATCTGATAAGTGGTCTCTGCTGGGGAGAAGAGAATTCTAAAATGAAATACTGGTGCTATCTTTTTCTGTTCTCCATACAGTTTTTTTTTTTATGAGCTCATTATTTAGGGCCACACTTCTCAGGACTCTCAGTGGTATCAGTGGGAGAAATTCAAATGCATTTTTTCTTGTCTTACTAATCTATGCTTATATGTGCATACATGTATACACATGCTTACCTAGACACACATACACCATCTGCCTACATTGTGTATGAATTGCTCTCACCAATACCAGTGAGAGTTCTGAGAGAAGAGTATAGCCCTAAATAACAAGCATATAAGAAAACATTAGCTCCTCAAGCTTTCATTAATATTGTTACTTTATTAGGTGTTATTCTCTACTATTATTTGCATTTATGAGCGGCTACCCCACTGAATAGTGTCCTGCTCAGTTAGAAGAACACCTTTGCAGCTCCTTTTCTCCAGATTTTAATGGTGGCCCTTCATCTATACACTAATGAAACATCTATTGATTTCAAGATTATAGCCCGTATTCTATTACTGGAAGACTACCCAAAGTGATAAGCATTCTTACAACTGTCTTATAGTTGATGGGGTCTTGTTAAATAAAACAGTAAATAGAGACATAGTTCTTTGAACACGCACCCTATGAAAGTAACTTTATAAAGATGAGAAAAAAAAAGAGAGGGGGAGAAAATGGGCACAGAAAACTGCCTCTGTTGACGTTTAACCCCTTTTTAAAAATACTAAAAGAAAAAATCTTCTGCCCCCCACCCCACACACAAACCCTCTGATGAAAATATTTAGAAAGCAAATTCTTACTTTGGCAACAGAAATGTCTCTGATAAATTCCAAGAACCTGAGATGACGGACACTTCAACTGCTGAACAATCTGTAAAGTCAGTATTATTAGACCTATGCCAGATGCTATGTTACAAGACAGAACTACAAAAAAAAATAAAAATCAGTGACCCCATCTTTATAACCCATGCACATGATGCTGCATCCTAGCTGGTGCATTTGCTCATTCTCTAATACACACTTACACTTTTGCTTTATATAATAAATGGTGCCAATGTCTTGTGCTTCTTGTAGCACTTTTCATCTGACATATTCAAAGTACCCAAAACAATTATTCCCCATGACTAATTTAGGATTGAGATCACCTCTGCATAACAGAAATAATATTCTCTTCAGGCTCCAGTTAAGGACATTCCGCCACAGAGATATGAAGCAAACATGCAGCATGCCAGTAGCTAAACCAGGACCAGAACCCAGATCTGCTGACTTTGTTTCATGCTTTAACCACAAGACAGGCTCATGTATAAGACTTTCTTCTGTTTCATTCTGGTTTCATGACCTTCTGTTGTTCTCTATGCAGTAGTAATTTTCATCCTATTTAAATCTTTTATGACTACAAGTCAATTTGCTATTATTTGAGCCAGTAATTACTATACCAACAATTCACTGGCAGCTGTGAAATGAAACAGTATCTTCCTCTCTCACGAGCAGAATACCACATTCAAGGCACATGTTATTTAAATCCTGTTCTCTTTGTGTGTGTGTGCGTACATGCACACACAGGTGTGTGTTTGTGTGTGTGCGTACGTGTAGAAAGAATAACAGCCAGAGCTCAAATTAAAGCTAGGAGTATAGGCTTGTCTACAACAAGAAAGCAATGGGTTTTCAGGATGTGACAGCAGGCACATTTTAAATGCCCAGTGTAAGCAAGGAAAATTGTACATTTAGCATGCGTTAGCTGAATCCAAATGAGACAAATCTTGGGACTGTTCAAAAGCTTAGGTAATTTTCTCAAATGAACTAAAAAACTCCCAGATGTTTACAGGCAATCAGATGCCTAAAGATGCAGCTACGCACTCACTATGTACCTACGTGCACTTACATACCTCTGGAAATCTGGCCCAAAATGCAGAGATTTAGCTACCTGCCTCTATAACTGCATGATGAGAGAGCCTTGCTTGGAGATAAATCACAACTTATTGGTAAAGTACTGAAGTGAAGGGAATGGGCAAAGTGAGATTTTCCTCTGACTGCTGGAAATCATCCCCTACTTCACATAATAAAACAAAATCAAATCAAGCCTGACTCAACCCCAGCTGACCAAGGCTTCACTGAAGTCAGTGGAAAGACTGCCACTGATTTCAGTATAAGCTGGACTGAGCTCAAGAAGAACAAGTATTTTGCCTTTTGAATTTACTAGGTTGCATGGAATAGCCAATATTTTCAAAGCATTTTCCCTGGAGGAGATACCACTGGAACCCTAGAAGAAGTCTTTCTGATGAGGTGAAGAACCCTTAATATGAGGTAGCATACAAGTTTCAAGCTATATATAGCCATCTCTGGTTCTATTAGTAACTGATAAGCAGCACTAAGAGAATGACAGGAGTACTAAGGTGCTCCAGCTGAGTTCAGAGCCTTGTTGGGGCAGGCATTAGAGAAAGAGAAAGTCCTGGCCCTTAAAAAGTAGAAAGTAAATTGGGCAAATTCCATAACTACAAATATACAGCTTTTGGAATGGGTCAGTAATGGATCTTTTGCAAGTTCTCAGAGACTTTATGACACCTTGAATTTTTAAAAGTCCATTAATAATGGTTACAAGAAACGCGATGGCCTGAAGTCATCATATGTATTACCCCAGCTGTCACACACAAAAGCTTTCCTATTTGCTTAAAAAAAAAAAAAAAAATCAATATCAGAAAAGAAATCAACACATTCAAAAACTCCTCTAAAGTGCTACTTAGGTCTCTGTAGTCTGTAATTCCAACGGGAGCTTTTTCTGTGCAGAGACAGGATGAGATCCTGAGACCCTGCTGCAGCAACAGCTCCCAATGGCTACAATCCAGTGAGACTGGAGCTCGCAATAAAGTCCAGGATGTTAATAAATTAAAACAAATGTCTCAGGTTGGCGTAGGGTCTGGGGGGTCAGAATGTCAGCCACCCCTGCTCCAATGGGGCTCTACATGCTGCAGAGGGGCTGGCTGAGGCACGAGGGTGCTTCAGCATGGGGGCCACCTACCAGCTAGCCCCATGCTGAAGCACCCTGTGATTCAACCACAGCTGGGGCACCATCTACATGTGTGCTGCTGCACACAAAGAAGCTCTGCAGCAGCAGGTAACCTGTTGCGGAGTTATTAGTTTTGTGCACCCTATGGGAGCGCACATATAGATGCTGAGCTGTTTACTGCACAATTAATTAGATAACTGTGCAGCAGACATCTCATGTACACATGCCCAATGACAATACAAATGCTCACTGGGCTTATATGTTCCATCTTTACTGATAAAAGAAGGTGGGTCAGTAGTTAATATGTGAGTATTAAACAAACATACCATTAGTAGTCGGTGCTGTGTATGTTAGATTGCAGCTGCAGTTCAAGATTTGTTGCTTTTCATTTTCACAAAGTATTTTGGTTTGTTTTGCATTTGTTATCCTACAAAAAGAATCCTTTTGGAAATCAGGTGGAATATTTCCAACTGTCATCTCAATAATCTTGAGAACCTGAAGAAAACATACAATTGATTACATGCAGTGTTTATAGAATTGCCTTCATATGAGACAAGTTCAAACTAATGCAAGGAAAATTTGTGCAGCCCCTGTAACAGAGAAACTCAGCCAGGTAAGGGCATAAAAGCAGCCAATTAGAGTGTTGTACTGTTAACTTTTGTGTGAAAAATGAGGAAAATTACTTTTGGAAACTCTTAAATAGAATGTTTCTTTACAGAACTAAGTATTTTTGTATTCCCTTTCCACAAATACCTGTGCAAGTACATATACCCATTCAACAAAAGTTAACTTTTGGGTCTGTATCCAAAATGCATTTAATTGCAAAATATATTTTTTATAATAAGTTGCCATTTATTTTTGGATTGAAGTAGCGTATCTATGTGAGTACAGCCAAACAAGAAAAAGAAAACAACCAAAAGAAATTGAGGGAAAACTGATCTATAAGGCTATAGAACAGACATTGCCAGTTGTGCTGCAGGGTTCAATCCTGCCACTCCCAGGAGCAGCTGGGGCCCTGAGGGACAAGACTCGGAGTGCATCTGTGCAAATGGGGGATCACCCAGGCTTGCCTCTGCAAGCAGGGAACCCCAGGGTTTTCCTGTTTGCAGATATGTGCCCTTAGTCAGGAGCAGCAGCACTATACACACCCAGGGAATCCCCCATCAGGGGATTCCCAGGGCACACACAGACAAGCAGGGAACCTGGGGGGCTCCCCTATTTACAGAGATGCACCCCAAGTCAGAGTGAAGCAAAGTGATATGCACACCTGGCAAATCCCCTGCTGGGGCATTTCTGGGGAATGCTTCTAAAAGTGGGGGAAGCCAGGCAGGCACTTGTCAGGCTTAAGGTCCTTGACCTCCCGGGAGCACCTGTATGGGGTGTGGCTGGTGAGCACAGACAGACACAGCAAGTATGACACCTCAATCTGAGCCAGCTGCAAATGATTTTAGATTCTGTAGTGCTCAGCAAATATTTTAAAGTATTAATATTATTACTGTTATTATTTTGCTACCATCACCAGAAAGGTATATTGCAAAACTGAAGAAATAAAACACAGAGCAACAAAAACTGATCAGGTTGTGGGAGTGGTTAACACAAGTAAATATACTTAGGCTGGAAAAGAAATGAATATGATCGGGAGAAATAACTCCAAAATATTTAGAAGGTATAATGAGCTGTTTACTACAGCATCAGAGTTACAATACAATAAAGGGACAGAAACAGGAATATTTAGATCAAAAACTAGAAAAAAAAATCTTAAGGTGAGATCTACTACAGTAGAAATAAAGGCTCCATTGGTTTACATTTATAAAACTAGACTGTGAAATACACAGTGAATAAATAGGACGTTTTTTGCACTAATAGAGGCATCACTTCTGAAAATACCTTAAGACTTAAAATAATATATATTTTTTTTTTTTCTCTTACCCCTGCAGGGTAGGTAGACATAGATATTAGAGGCAGAATACTATTAACATTGTGCATCTAAAGAGCAGTTTTCTAGAAGCATGACTGGCATTTCTGGCACTTTGCATATCTATTACTCTTGGAAGACAGATGTGTAAGCATATGCATGTAGACTGAGCATGTGCAATAGGCTATGCCCTGGATGCTATGGGTGCACCGATAAAGATTTTTTGGGACAATACTGATGACTGATTATTGACCAGGCATATCAGTCAATACTGATTTGATTGCCAATATGCAGCCTGGCAGCTTGGAGAGCAGCGTCTGGCTGGTAAGTCTGGGGGTGGGGAAAGCTGGGGAGAAATGGGGCGTGGGGTGGGCAGATTGAGTCCCTCACAGTGAGGGGAGGAGTGGGGCTGCAACTAGGGCAGGGGTAGGACCTGGCACTGTACAGCCAGGGTGTAGGATGGAGCCACAGCTAGTCTGGTTAGTACAGGGGGGGCAGGGGCAGCTCCCACTGCTGCATGGACCCCTGGGGAGGCATGAGGGGCATGTGTCCCCAGGATCTGTGCATGGGGCGAGGGCAAGCTGCCTTCTGCATGCTTGAGGCTGGGGCTGCACTGGCCTCCTGCCAGTGGAAGGGCTGGGCCATGCCAGGAGAGGGGCTGGGCTCCCGGGCTGTGCTTGGAGCGGGCAGGAGTGGGGCAGGCAGTGGCAGCACTGGGAGGGGCAGCTATGGTGTGGGGGGGGCTACAGCAACCCCAAATTCACTGTAGCCCCCTTCCCAGCACCACCACCGCCCACCCTACCTCCGCCCACCACAAGCGCAGCCTGGTCCAGCGCCCCCACTGAGAAGAGGCCAGAGCAGGCCCTGGTCCCCAGCCCGCCCTCACCCTTTGCACAGATCTGAGGGGCACATAGCCCTCATGCCTCCACTGGGGTGCACAGTGGTGGGAGCTGTCTGCCCCTCTCCGCATCCCCCAGACAAGCTGCAGCTCCCTCCCACGCCCCGCACCACCGCGGCTGTGCAGCACCTGCCCCTGCCCCAGCCCCACTCCCCCCCCACACCGTGGGGGCCTCTATCTGCAGCACCCTGTGCCCCTTCCCTCCCTCAGACTTACTGGACAGATGACACTTTCCAAGTTGCTGGGCTGCACTCCTGACCATGTGCATGCTACAGCATTTATCAGTGACATTATTGGCCACATCAGCCAAAAAAAGCCAACTGTCGATTATGTCAATTTCCTTTTTATTGATGCCAGTATGATATGAACTGATGTACTGGTGCACCTTTACTGGACTCTTACGCATGTGGCTACATACATGCACCATTTCTGGAAGTGTAAGCTATGAGAATGTACATAGACAAAAACCCACACCTAACTGGTGTCAGATACCAAAAAAAAGGGTCTTCTCAGGTTTTGGCTTAATAGCTGAATACTCAGGACACTTGCACAGGAAGCCAGAAACCCAGGTTCTAGCTCCCTTTCACCCAGAGGAGAACTGAACGCTTGTCTCTTGGACATCAAAGCACAAAGCTCTAATCACAACACCATAGGAAGGCATTATCAACTGCCTTCTCCCTTTTGCAAGCACATAGTCACACACCTATCCGGACAGAGCATAGCCTACTGAACACACTTAGTCTATAAGTGTCTATAAGTCATACTCATGTATCTACACTGCAGGGGTAAGAGAATTGGAAACTGTGTACAAGTGCCAAAGCCACCACTTATGTGACCAGAAAACTGCCATTTAGATCTACAAAGGGAAATGGAATTCCACCCTCTATCCTTTCTATATAATTTTTTACTAGACCAGGGCTGTTCAACTGATAGCTCACTGGCTGCATACAGCCCATGAGGGGTTAATCCATGGCCCCTGGGCTCTCATCTAGTTGCTGTTCCTCCTATTGCTCAGCTACAGCCAGGGGCTCATGGCTTCCCCTCTGACTCCTTCCTGCACTTGCCCAAGAAGCCAGTGCCAAGTGGCGGTGTGGCACAGCCTGTCGTGCAGTGCAGAATGAAATCTGGTAGGAGACCTGCCTACCCATGTATGCAGTGCAACAGTGGAGGGATGGACAAGTGCAATCCAAACAGAGAAGGCCTGTGGGTCCTATGACTCATGCTACTGCAGCCTGCAGGGCATGCAATCCCTGCTGGTACAGCCTCTGCAGGGTGTAGCTGCTGCCTGCCTAGAAGTTGGACATTCCTGAATTAGACTATGGAACTCTCTAGTGGAGACCTAGATTCTTATCCTGGCTCCACCACTAGCCTGCTGTGTGACTTTGGATAAATCACTTACCCTTCCCTGTGCCTAAGTGTACTCATCTGCAAAATGAGAATAAAAATATTCACCTCCATTAAAAAGTGTAATCTACCACTGAAAAGCACTACATAAGAGGTAGGATTTATTTTTATTATTACATTCTGTTGGCCATTTACAGTATTTTCTATGGAACTACTCCTAATGTCCTGTGATTCTTTTTCTCTCTATTCTATTCATTTTCATGTCAAAATTTTGCAGATATTCATGCAAATGAATAAAAAAAATTGGGTTTGTAAGTCTGTGCTGAAACATTTCATGACTTATAAGCCCTGGAACCTGGTTAGTGCATTTTATGCACAATGGCTGAAAATTAGAAGACAACATATGTTTAAAAAAAAACAACCCCAAAAACAAGTCAACTAAACAAGTCAACCACTCCCCTGGTCAGTATAAGGAAGTACTGAGTCAATAGGCTTTATAGCCCATCTTGCAGTAGAAAATGAAATCTCTCTTGAACCTATGAATTCAACCAGTTAAATCTCCAGCCTAATTGCTAGTTGTTGAGATAAGAATATAATGTGTGTGGAGTACGTAAAGTATAGTGACAATAACAAGTTATAGTAAATGCTAGAATCGCTTGTTTAAAATAAAAAAAACCACAAAAAACAAAAAATGGTTTATACATGCCTTATTTTCATGATGCATGATCTTTATCTGGATTACAGCATACTGATCCATTTCGTGTAAACTGTTAACCAAATCTGGTAAACTGTCTGAACGTGAACAATTTCCTTTCAAGGTACACCTATGAAACGAAAACAAAATTTTACTAGATTTCCTTATACTGGCTGCAGTCCTGGCTGTTCTGCTTTAATTTATTTAACACCTTATATTCCTGAAAAAAAAAAAAAAATTAAGTGCCATCACAAAAAGCTAAACAAAAATGATACAAAAAAGTCATTTGATTTATGCTTTTGTGCCTCAATTAATCAAAACTTTTAGAAGTTTTTAGTTTTTAAGTCAGTGAGATTTTAAGTAAACGCTTATGTGCTTTTCTTGATACAGATTATTTTGGCCTTATATATGGTCAGAAGCACAAACTGTTAATGGGAATCTTTCCACTGACTTCAATGAGCTTGAGTCAGGCCTGATCTTTGACAAAATAATGTTAATATATAAATGTTGGTGTTAAAGCACAAAGTCAGCATTATACTTAGTAAAGATCAACTTGTGCTCAACAATGTACATTGTAAAATTGGTCTAATATATTATGTAGGAAGGACTGGGATTTAAAAAAAAATATTTTAAGAAAGTGTTCACTTCCTTGAGTAAATTATTCCAACAGGATGCAAAATGTGCCCGGATCCTCACAGCTTCATTTGAACTATATAGAATGAAAAATATTAGGCCCCATTTCTAGAAACTCCTGGGCACATGTTTAAGTACATGAATAGTCCCATTAACTCTAACTGAATTACTATTTACATTAAATGTGTTCCTGTGTGTTCAAAGTGTTGCAGGCTTAATGAATTCGATTTCTCAAGTAACAGATTTTAACTGGGCTCCCTAGAGGATTTTTCAGAGCTCATTGTAGGCATGTGTAGTTAAATACTAAATTGTCCTGGAAAGGAAAAAACAAATACGAGACTTGCAAGTAAAATGTCCACAACTATGCCAACTATCTCAAAAAGTCCCTAAAACTGTACAGTTGTTCCTTTTTTATACCAAGATGTTGGCAAGAGTACTATTAAGCAAGAGGTTATTTCCTGCGTGGTCTTAGTCAGGAAGCTGAACCCATACTGTAGAAAAACCTTCTGGGGCCCTGTTACAGAATATACTCAAAGCACGATTCTAAAGACATTAATCTTATGTTTTACAACTAGTTAATTGATTTGGATTAAATGGGATAAATTTGTCTCTCCTGTACAACCTTACTGACCTCCAACCAACAAAAAATAGGAATGGAAGGGAATCTCAGGACATCAACTAATTCAGGGGTGGGCAAAATACAGCCTGCAGGCAAGATCCAGTCCACCAAAGGATTCTGTCCAGCCCATGATGGGTCCCTCAGTCCTGCTCAGGCCAGGCACTCGGGGTAGCCCATGCCAGAGTCATTTCCTGGCAGCCCTGGCAATGGCAGCTCCTTCTGGCTGCCACTCCCAGGCATAGAATCATAGAAAATTCAGGTGGAAGGGACCTCAGGAGATCAACTAGTCCAGCCCCCTGCTCAAAGCAGGACCAGCCCCAACTAGATTATCCCAGCCAAGGCTCTGTCTAGCCAGGTCTTAAAAACCTCCAAGGATAGAGATTACACAACCTCTCTGGGTAACCTGTTCCAGTGTTTTACTACCCTCCTAGTGAGAAAAGTCTTACTAATATCTAACCTAAATTCCCTTGCTGCAACTTGAGACCGTTGCTCCTTGTTATGTCATCTGCTACTACAGAGAACAGTTTAGCTTCATCCTCTTTCAAACACCTCTTCAAATAGTTGAAGGCTGCTATTAAATCCCCTCTCAGTTTTCGCTTCTCTAGACTAAGCCTAGTTCCCTCCACCTCTCCTTATGAGTCATGTACCCCAGACCCCTCACCATTTTTGTTGCCTTCCTTTGGAATCTCTCCAATTTGCCTATGTCTTTTCTGTAGTGAGTGGCCCAAAACTGAACACAGTACTCCAGATGTGGCCTCACCAGTGCTGAATGGACGGGCGTAATCACTTCCCTTGACCTGCTGGCAGCACTCCTACTAATGCAGCCCAGTATGCCGTTAGCCTTTTTGGCAACAAGGGCACACTGTTGGCTCATATTCAGCTTATTGTCCACTGTAACCCCCAGGTCCTTTTCTGCAGAGCTGCTGCCCAGCCAGTCAGCCCCCAGACTGTACCAGTGAATGGGATTGTTCCATCCTAAGTGCAGGACTTTGCACTTTGTCCCTGTTGAACTTCATGAGATTCCTTCTGGCCCAATCCTCCAATTTGTTTAGGTCACTCTGAATCCTAGCCCTACTCTCCAGTGTATCTACTACTTCCCCCAGCTTGGTGTCATCTGGAAACTTGCTGAGGGTGCACACTATGCCATCTTCCAGGTTGTTGATGAAGATATTGAACAAAACTGGCCCCAGGACTTAGGGCACTCCACTTGATAACAGCTGCCAGTTACACACTGAACCACTGATTACTAGGGATCCCAGTTTTCTCTGATTTGAAAAAAAAATCCCCAATTTTTGGTTAAACAAAAATAACACCAAATAAATTGGGGATTTTTTCACATCAGAGAAAACCAGGATCTCTGTAGATAACTACCTTTCAAGTCCAGTGCTCCAGCCAATTTTCTATCCACCTTACAGTCCATTCATCCAGGCCATACTTCCTTAGTTTGCCTGCAAGAATGGTGCAGAAGACAATATCAAAAGCCTTGCTAAAAATCAAGATATGTCACAGAAGGCAATTGAGTTGGTCGGGCATGACTTGCCCTTGGTGAATCCATGCCGACTGTTCCCCATCACCATCTTCTCCTCCAAGTGCTTAGAAATGGATTCCTTGAGGATCTGTTCCATGATTTTTCCAGGGATTGAGGTGAGACTGACTGGTATATAGTTCCCTGGATCCTCCTTTTTCCCCTTTCTTAAATATGGATGTTATGTTTGTCCTTTTCCAATCATCTAGGACCTCTCCTGATAGCCATGATTTTTCAAAGATGATGGCCAATGGCTCTGGAATCACATCTGCCAATTCCCTCAGTAACCTTGGGTGCATCCCAGACTTGTATATGTCCAGCTTTTCTAAATAGTCCCTTAACCTGTTCTTTCACCACCGCTGGCTGGTCACCTCCTCCCCAAACTGTGCCGCCAGGTGCGTTACTCTTGGAGCTGACCTTGCCTGTGAACATGGGTGACTGGTGCCTCCCAGGGCACCAGATCGCCAACTGGGGCGGGGTGGAGGGGAGGGAGGGGTCCCCCAGCAGCCGATTGCCAAGCCAGAAGCAAAACCGGAAGTGCACTTCCAGTGGCACTTCCAGTTTCGCAGCTGGTGCTTCTAGGGGGTGCATGGCCAATCTCAGGGGGTGCACGTGTACCCCCTACATGTCACCAATGCCTGTGAAGACTGGGGTGAAAAAGACATTGAGTACTTCAGCCTTTTCTGAATTCTCTGTCACAAGGTTGCCTCCCCCATTCAGTAAGGGACCCACACTTTTCCTTATCTTCCTCTTGTTACTGACATACTTGTAGAAACCCTTCTGGTTACCCTTCAATCCCTTGCTAGCTGAAACTACAATTGAGCTTTGGCCTTCCTTAGTTCACTCCTGCATGCCTGAGCAAAACTCTTATACTCCTTCCTAGTTGTTTGCCCAAATTTCCACTTCTTATAAGCTTCCTTTTTGTGATTTAGTTTACTGAAGAGTTCCCTGCTAAGCCAAGCTAAGCTGGTCTTCTCCCATACTTGCTAGTCTTCCTGCACATCGGGATGGCTTGTTCCTGCACTCTCAGTAAGGCTTCTTTAAAGCATGGCCAGCTCTCCTACCCTCCTCTCCCCCTCAGACTCGCTTCCCAGGGTATCCTGCCCATGAGTTCCCTGAGTGAGTTGAAGTCTGCTTTTCTGAAGTCCAGGGTCCTTATTCTGATGCTCTCCATCCTTCATTTCCTCAGGATCCTGAACTCAGTCATCTCACAGTCACTGCTGCCCAAGTTGCCATCTACTAGTACATTCCCCACCAATTCTTCCCTGTTTGTGAGCAGCAGGTCAAGAAGAGCATGGCCTCTATTTGGCCACTCCAGCACTTGCACCAGGACGTTGTCCCCAGCACTGTCCAAAAACTTCATGGATTGCCCGCGCACTGCTGTATTGCTGTCCCAGCAGAAGTCAGAGTGATTGAAGTCCCCCATGAGAACTGGGACCTGTGATCAAGAAACTTCCACTAGCTGTTTAAAGAAAGCCTCATCTACCACTTCCTCCTGATCTGGTGGCCTATAGCAGACACCCAACCACAACATTATCCTTGTTGCTTTCCCCTCTGACACTAATCCAAAGACTTTTGATAGGCTAGTTTCATACTGGAACTCTGAGCAATCATATGGCTCTTTTACATAAAGTGCAACTCCTCCTCCTCCTCTCCCCTGCCTGCTCTTCCTGAACAGTTTGTACCCAATCCATGACAGTGCGCCAGTCACGCGAGCTCCCACCAAGTCTCTGTTATTCCAATCATGTCATAGTTCTGCGACTGTGCAAGGACTTCCAATTCAGCCCTGGCCCCGCTACCTGGGCACCCGGACCCATCCACTTTGCACCCACCACCAGGGGCAGGACCCACATGGGCAGGGCAGATGGGATGGGGCTGCGGGTGGACAGGGAGTACTGTCCAGGAGCAGAATGGGTTGGCAGGGCTGGGATGAAGGGGCGGTGACCGTGCAGTGCTGGGGCCCACGGCAGAGCCATGATCTGCTGCTCAGACATCCCTGTCCATGGACAGGACCACGCGGGCACAGACTGCGGCTGTCCCAGGCCACAGCCCCATTCTGTCACCATCCCAAGATCGCAAACCTGGCCCCCCCGGCCCAGCCCGCTCCCAGATGCAGCTCCCTGCCTGCCCATGGCCCTATTCCATCCGCCTGGTCACGCACCCTGCCTGCACAGGTCCTAGCTAGTCTCCATGGAGATGCCAGGATTGCGGGGTGGTGACAGGACTATAGTATTGTTTTAGAGCTGTGATGGTCCAGAGAACATGTGAGAAGCAAGGTTTGGTAATATCTTTTATTGGATATATTTTATTGGAGTTGGTCTAATAAGAGGTATTAACAAACAAACCTTACTTC